TCTAGACTCTTCTGTGGATATCTAATTCATAATACTTTGTGACTATCCAGCTATTGCTTAGTTTCTTCCTTGTTCTTTTTTTCTTTTCGAGCTATAGGGATTTCGTGGCATGCGTCTTCCTTTTACCAAACTGGTGAGTTTCATCTCTTCTTTTTCGATCCTGCTACTATCATGACTACTGTGACTTTCTGCGGCTAACTTTACTACTTATCCTGAGTCTTCCATACTGAGTCTTCCAAACCGAACCCCACATACACTAAGTCCCATACACTAAGTCCCATATATTAATTCCTATACACCAAGTCCTATACCTAAGTCCTATCTATGACTTTAAAACTACAAACGCGCGTTTCATGCTCCGGTGCCGACTATAAATACCATCCCGAGCAATTTCTTCTTCTTCTTTCTTCTTCCTCCCCACGATACATACAAACAGCTCTGGTGAGTATGTACTTTGCTTCCTTACACTGAATTGCCCCTTATACCCTTCAGTTGCATGCCAGTTCCTCTGATATTGGCAAGTCGGCCAGTCCTCTCTGCATCTCTCACTCTCATTGCATATGCATATTCATTAACCTTACTTTTATCCTCACCAATCTTTCACTTACCTTTCATTGGCTCTCACTTGCATATCACTTGTCGCTTTCAAGGTATCTCACTTGTTACTCCTTGATTGCTACATATCTTTGACCCCAAACCCTTCTCTCACTTACCGTCTCACTAAGATCACGTATTTTGCGTGAATCTCAGCCTTCATTTGCTCCTCTTGGTTCATTCTGATATTCTTATTTGCTGCTGCACACTTGCTTCTTCCTGGTGTACCTTGATTTCCATTCCTCTTCCCTCAGATCATTTCCCTTGCACCATCACCTATCTCTTTGCACATTCCTCCCTGCATGAGATATTCTATCACTACATCCTATCCTGCATCTTCATTGCATCGCCATTGCCATGTCTATTGCATTGGCATTGTGATTGGCATCGCTCTTTGCTGTGGGTTGGGCTACTTGCCTTATCGCATTACGTGCCCTACATTGCCCATTGCTCCGCTTCGCTGGTCTGTCTTGACATCACTATCTTCGTGCATCTCGATAATGTAATGTCCATTTATTGACGCATAACTACAGATCAACGAACCCAAACTCGACTTTTCCTTTTCCTCTTCTGAAAAAGGAAACCTAGGGTGGGCAAAATAGCGCTTCTCCTGTTTTGAGCGCGAAGTCCGCGGTCTCACTTTATCATTGCCTTTCTTTCCGAATACCTATTTTCTCTAACAGACATTCGTCAAAATGTCTGGCCGTGGCTACGGTGATCTGCCCATTCGAGGCGGCCGTGGTGGTGGCGATCGTGGCGGCTCCCGTGGCCGCGGCGATGGTGGTTCGAGCAGCCGTGGCAGTGATCGCGGTTACAGCGGTGATCGGGGCCGTGGCAGTGACCGTGGCGGTGGACGTGGTGGACATGGCGGACCTGAAGGACCCTCCGGGTAAGTTTATTTGTTCTATATCAGGGGAAAATTATATCTAACATGCGCACAGAATGTTGACAGACCCGGTTGAAGCTCCCAACGCCAGAGTCCAGGCCTTGGAGGACAAGTACGTTACAGAGTCAGCAAAGGCTCGCCCAGTATCCAACTCTTTGGCTCGGCGTCCTGGCTACGGTACTCAAGGTCGTCCGGTTGTTCTTCGTGCCAACTTCTTCCCCATGGAGTTCAAGCCGAACATCAAGTTCCATTCCTATCGGCTCAAGATCAAGCCCGAGGCGAAGAAAGGGCAGCAAAAGTTCATTCTTGAGAGTATGTTCCGCAAGTACCCTCTGTTCAACAAGGGAATCGGCGTTGCCACTGATGGGGCCACTGAGATTGTTACAACCGAGCTACTCCCCGAGAATCGAGAGCCATTCCGTTGTTCCATGGGCGACGGAAGCGGGCATGGAAGTGGGACATCCAAAGCCTACACCGGCCCTTGGGAGGCCACTTTGACCCTTGACAGCTCTTATTCTCCAGCTGATATGCTTGCTTGCCTTGAGGACGTCAATCACCGAGAGGAACTTCCGAATGAAGCGCCCTGTCTCCGAGTACTGAACATCCTCATGAGTGCTTGTCCCTACAAAGATGCCGGCATCTCCATAATCGGCAAAGGACGAAACAAATTCTTCCGGATGGACAAGCGAAAGCAGTCAATGGACATCAAGGGTGGTCTTGAAGCCGTTCGTGGTTACTACTCAAGTGTTCGTGTTGGTGCTGGACGAATCTTCCTGAATTTGAATGTCAGTCACGGTGCATTCTTCCATGAAGGTCTGCTTTCAGATATCCTTATTGCCTTCCAACAAGTTCATGGAAACAACCGGGAGCTTGTGCACCGGTACCTGAAGGGTCTGAAAGTCCACGCCCTGCATCTGGATTCTCGAGAAAACGGATCTGGGGTGAAGGAAAAACCGGTCAGAACGATCCTCGGAGTTGCCACTCCTAGGGATGGATGCAATGGCCCCAATCCGCCACAGGTTTTACATGTCGCATCTAGTGCGGAGAATGTGAAGTTCTGGATGGGAGATGAGAAGAAGGGGAAATACGTGACGGTTGCTGATTACTTCGAGAAAAGTACGTTTGCTGCCTGTCAGTCGATATTTCCGGTGCATTATGCTAATAGGAAATAACAGCTTACAACAGGCCACTCAAGTATCGCGGTAATATGCCGGTTGTCAACGTTGGAACCCGTGACCGTCCTGTTTACCTTCCTGCGGAGGTTTGCGAAGTCCTCCCCGGGCAACCCTGCAGGGCAGAGCCAAACGTCATCCAACGACAGAACATGATCAAGTTCAGTTGCCGCCGTCCTCCTCAGAACTATGACTCTATTATGACCGAGGGACTGAACATCATGGGAATCTCTGAAGGATATACCAAGGCGGTAGGGATCAAGCCCGGCAAGGAGATGATCACTGTACCTGCACGGATTTTGAATCCCCCAAACCTGCTTTATGGAGGTAAGAAGACCACTAATCCTCGAAATGGCTCGTGGAATTTGGTCGGCACGAAATTTGCCCAGGGCGCCAACATCGGCAAGTGGACCTGTCTTTGGATTGGGAAGCGCGGTCTTGACGCGAAAATGGATCCTGTGCCCCATATCGACGCATTTTACAAGAAAATGCGTGACCATGGCCTATCGCTTCCGCCGCCCGATAAACCGTTTCGCCATGTTTGGCTCGGTCCGGAGGATAGAGACAATCGAAATGTCATCAAGGGCGCATTCAAAGAGTTTATGGAAAAGAAGTACCCCTTTTTGGTTGTTTTGCTTCCTACCACAGAAGGCAAAATCTTTGATTACGTCAAGTACGCCGGAGATCTTAAGACTGGCATCCTCACCCATTGCATCCTGTACGACAAGCTGAAGACTGCCAATGAGCAGTATTGGAGCAATAACGCGATGAAAGTCAATCTCCGGATGGGAGGATGCAATCAACTCCTGCAGCCGGCGAACGCACGCTTCATTGGCGCAGGGAAGAGCACCATGGTCGTTGGCTTGGATGTCACTCATCCGTCGAGTACAGACCCCGAAGTCTTCCCCAGCGTTGCTGCCATCGTTGCCTCCACTGATTATCGCATGGGACAATGGCCCGGTGAGGTTCGAGCCCAAATGCGCCGCCAAGAACACATTCTATTCCTCAAGGAGATGATGCTCACCCGACTGAGCTTGTGGCAGAAGAACAACAATGGCAACTTGCCGCAAAACATTCTCGTATACCGTGACGGTGTTAGCGAGGGTCAGTTCGCCATGGTCCTTACAGAAGAACTTCCAAAGATCCAAGCTGCTGCCAAGGCGGTATACCGTGGAGCCATGCCCAACATCACCATTGTCGTCTGTGGGAAACGCCACAACGTGCGCTTCTACCCTACCAACACGAGGGACCAAGATAGAACATCCAACCCAATCAACGGATGTGTTGTTGACCGTGGAGTAACCCGCCCTATCTACTGGGACTTCTATCTGCAAGCCCAGGCTCCCCTTCAGGGCTCCGCTCGTCCGGCTCACTACATTGTCATCCACGATGAGATTTTCACCAACTCGAAGGCCAACCCGGACCGCAAGCCCACTGACGTGCTGCAAGAACTTACCCACAACATCTGCTACATGATGGGCCGGGCTACTCGCTCGATCAGTTACAGCACTCCTGCCTTCCTAGCTGATAAGTTCTGTGATCGTGGCCGGAAGTATCTGTTGGCCTACTACTATGAGAATAATATGCAGGTCCAAAGCGAGGACAAGTTCGGAGGTAGTACCTTGGCCATGGCGAGCGCATGCCAGAACAACATGGTCTATATCTAATTTGACCGTTGTCATTTTCTACTTTCTTGTTGATATTTGACGATCTTTGCCGATCTTTCCGGAGTTTGGAGTCCGATACCCTTTTTGCTATGCTCTATTGTTCTTTGAAATTGTACTTGAGCTTTGATGTTTTCAATGACTTGCATTGTTGAGCTGGAAGATTGCTTGCCCATGAGGCGAAAGCTATGAAAAACCACAAAACGACCGAAAAAAAGGGCGCAATGTCCTTGCTTTTCTTACAAGCTTGAGATGTGCCTATGCTGCAACAAGTGTGACGAACCGAAAAACACAAAAAAAAGGAGGGATTTATTTCCTTTGATTTTGTTGCGATGTCTTTGCATGTCTTGGAATGACACTTACGCTGCAGCATGGAAAATACGGAAAAACCAAAAAAAGGGGATGTTTATGTTAGAGTATGAAAATTGAAAATATTTTTTAAAAAAAAACCACATATGCCTGTGTAGCCACTGCTTAGGTAGACTTAGTCTTAGTTGCAAGGACCGAGAAGATCTTAGTGATAAGACTGAGTGCAAAACGCTGGATACTGAAGAAGCGTATATATGTAGTATACAAGTGCCAATCTATATGGCTCTGATTATTTTGGGATCGACAAGACAGCTCGCGCCAAACCAATGCATTGGTTATGACCTATGAGGTTGAACACCGTGCGCGATAACCTCTGTCTTCATGCGACAAGGAGCGCGGGTGGAGTTCAGAGACTTTTCGAGCATGGAGATAGCCTCGATACCACCTATGACCGGGGTTCCTTGCAAGATGTTCTGCCGATGAATTGACCAATGGTGTAGGGCGACGACCTTCTCTGCCTCCTAGCACATATTTCTGAAAGTCCAGCTTATATAGCATGGCGAAGAAATGACCCAAATACGCCGATATCACCTCTCACCGCTTGGAATTAGGAGACCACGCTTCAGGTTGCCACTCCTCGCCTGGGTTGGCATTTTTCGCCTTGGTCCATGGGTTCTCCTTTTGTGTCTTCGGTGCTGTTTCGGGGGTTGTGGCTGAAGCGGGTGCTTTTTGTGCGGGAGCAGCGTTAGAGGGCTGGTTCAAAGTCGCCTTATTGATTTGGGTTGCTGGTGGTTGTTGTTGAGTCTTGGGCTTATCGAGATAGGAGGCCTTGCTGGCCCAGCGTTCATCGGCGAGTTGGGCGAGTTGTTTGATTTGCGCCTGCCGGATAAGATCCTGCTGCTGCTCCTGAATGCTCGGGGGGTGCTGTCGGACATGTCGCAGCCATTGGTGCCATTGCGCTGTGTTGAAATAGCAAGTTAGTTGTGCTTCAACGGTCTGATTCCCCTTCGACAGCGCAATAGAGGCATGCGGTCCAGCCTCGAGCCTGCATCTTCCGACAGAACTTACGTGTCACTTGAACATCACTAAAATGGGTCTTCGGATCGTATCGAACAATGCGACGGAATCGAGCTGCATTCATCACATCTTTGAACTCCCAGTAAGTATTTCCGGCGAGATCCTCACCTAGGAGACGGTTAATGGTACTGAGACACCACAAGAAAAGCAGAAAGCAGATACTGACCGACCAAGAAGGACTTCCGCCAGGGCAGGCGAAGCTTCTTCCATTTGAACCACAGACTGTTAACCATTGTTGAGGGTGAAGACTAGAGAAGAGGCAAAAAAAGATCGAGGCGGGCCATCAGGAACGTCATCGGGGGGATAAACACAGCCCGGACATTCCACTCCTCTCCTCTGCCATCTCTCGACCTTTTTCTCCTTTTTCTCTCTTATTTCTACGACTTTACTAGAAGACTTCTAAACTTCTGGTAATTAAGCATTTTCTTCATCTAATCATTTCCAATTGTATCACGGAGCAACCCCCCTTCTGCTACCCAACACCGGCTACCGTTAGGGCCGATCAGGCACCCGAAAAGGGATACATACCAAGTGGCAACAACAGTCCAACTAGACTTCAACATAGAGCACCGATTATCCGACACTCATATGGCTTCAGTGACTTCGTTGGACAAGGACTTGCGCAATATGCGCCTATCCCGCTATACCCCGCAGGCAGCCGCGGAGGTACGCGACTGGATTGAGGAAGTGCTGCATGAGAAACTGGCATCGCCAGACTTGCTTGAAGGCCTAAAAGATGGCGTTGCTCTTTGCAAGTAAGTTGTATTTATGTTATTTAAAGTAGCCTCAATGAGTCTGAACCCCTGGCTAACTACTTTAATTACAAGGCTGGTAAACCTCGCTGTGTCACCGGGCGTGAAGTATAAGCAGTTGTCTGCGCCATTTGTACAGATGGAGAACATTTCGCATTTCTTACGCGCATGCCAATTGCCACCGCTCAATCTTCCCCCGCACGATGTCTTCCTGACCGTTGATCTCTACGAAGCAAAGGATCCGGCGCAGGTTCTCCAGTGTCTGGCAGCGTTCAGTCGGCGGGCCAATGCCCTTGCGCCCAACAAGTTCCCCCGAACTGTCGGTCCACAGAGTAAGCGCGGCATGATCAGCCCAAATGCGACGGGTTCTTCAAGCAACGGAGCGTACTCACCTCGATCAGCCCGCTCCTCTAGCAACGTCGGGGATGCAAGAGCCACCCTTCCCTCTCGAACAGGTAGCCCTACGAAACCTGCCGGGTCATACAGTACTTGGGCCAAGAAGGGAGATGAGCAGGATACCACGCCGGCTTGGAACATTCACCAATATGGCTACATGGGGGGAGCTAGCCAAGGGAATCAAGGGATTGCATTTGGTGCTCGCCGACAGATCACCACTCCTGGGCCTGCTGTGCCAAGCCTTGCAGAGAAAGAGAAGCGCAGGCGGGAAGAGGATGAACGAATTCGTCGACAGAACGCAGAGAGGGAAGAGGCAGAGCGGGCACACCAGCGACAGATTGCAGAAGAGGAGGCTCGTGCTAAGGCAGAAGAGGAGCGCCGATGGGAAGAAGAGACTGCTCGTATAAGGGAACAGGAACGTCTCAAGGTTGAAGAAGAAAAGAAGCGCTGGGACGATGAAAAGCGTCAATGGGAAGCGGAAGAGCAGCGACGTATGGCGGAAGAAAAAGAAGCCGAAGACCGGTTTGACCAAGAGCGACAACAGAGACGAAGCGTTAATGATACCCGTCTCAATGGTCAGTTCCTGAGCCAGTACCAGGCCTCCAACTCCCAGGTTGGTGATGTCGCCGGAGCAAGGCCGGTCGAGGAAACAGCCCAAAGCCGCCGCATCAAAGAGCTCGAACGCGAGCTAGAGCTGGCAAAGGAGCGGGAGCGCCAGTATGAGACGGAACGTCAGGAAGCCCAGTCTGGAAAGACTGGCGACCAGTCTCAGTCTCGCAGTCAAAGTCGCCCTCGTCCTGTCCCCCCAAAACCTAGCTACGATCTCTCTTCTCTCGAACAAGAACGGCGGCTCCTCCGTACGGAGTGGCAGAACACGCAAGACATGCCCGCTACTTCTGAGGCAGAGGAACCCAACCCCACCGAGGAGCAAGCACCAGCACCGCCCGCTCGTCCCCTCCCGCTGCCAAAGCCATCATCTTTCTCTGCAACGCCAGCACTCCCTCCCAGGGACCTACCCGCCTCGCCTCGGCCCCTTCCAGACCCAGTAGCCTACAACGCCAACCGGGGCCACGAAAGCCGCGTGGATAGTTTCCTCTCCTCGAACCCAGCACCTGCATCCCCAGCCCCAGCCACCCACCGATTCCAGGATTACACCTCGACCTCCGAAGTTGACGCCGAGAACAGCCGCCGCGAAGCCTCACAACAGAAGACCAAGGCCGGCGGCTGGGCATCTAAGTCTCTACTGGAACGGGAGATGGAGCGCGAACGCGCCCGCCAGGAGGAGTGGGCAGAGAACCAGAAGCAGACGGCAGCTGCGGCCGAGCGTGGCAGCAAAGATAGCACCCAGGGCTCGGGACCCGGCCAGTCTTGGGACGTTCATCAGTATGGATATATGGGTGGTGATAATCAGAACCGTGGCGGTGTTGGCCTTGGTGTTGGCGGTGCTAGACGCCAGATTATTGGACCCCGGCCACCGCGATAAGCTGTTGACATGTGTTGGCGTCTCGCAGAACCTACCTATTCAACCTAGGGTTCTTGTTTATTTGATTCCTTGCCCCTTCTATGTTATTTCCATTCTTTCTTGCTACTTCTCTTCAAGCTCTATTCCCCCCTGCATCTGTGGGCGGATACCATCATTGAAGCAGAAGACCTATTATCATATTTCTGCGTTGGTGGATTATTCTGTTACTTGCGTGCTATGATTCCCGCTCCAGGCCGTTGCTTTACTTGTTTTTGACTCGATGTGGTTGTAGATAGCAATTATACTCCAGGTTCTATAATAAACAGGTTTCAGAAGGTACTGAGTTATAGTTAATCACACATCCGTAAGATAGTCCTTTCACAGCAAATGAAAGGAATTGGCATTTAATAGACAGTACAGGCACTCCATGGTCCCTATGTAAGTATATGTCACAACCAATATATTCAAACCGAAGAAAAATGCAAAGGACATTCAAACGCTCCATAGACGCCCATAAACTCGAAACGATCATTAAGTATCATTGTCATCATGAACATCATTACCACAACGCCGGTCTTCCCCCATCCCACAGAAAGGCTTCATGGCAAGATATGCTTGACCATGAACTTCATCCTAAACCCACTCTCCTTCAAATAAGCCCATTCAACCGAGTCCCGATCACGACTAGCCTGCTCACGACGCGCAATCCCAGACCGGACAGCTTCGGCCAGCGACGGGGTCACAGAGAGCATCTTGCTTTTATGGAGGAGTGTCATCAATGCCTCAAGCAGAATGGAGACTTTGGCATTGTTCCCGGCGCTTGGAGTAGCCGCTGCGTACGGGAGGAAGCATTTCTCCAGCTTGGCCTGGGTAAGGTAGTTATCATCGGAGCTGGGGGCAGAGCTCTCGCGGATGACGAAGAGGAGGAGCTCGCAGAGAGTAGAGTGCGCTTCGGGTAGGAGGTGCGGGAGGTTGGAGGGGCTGATAAATTGTTGGAAGATCGGGAGGGAAAGGTCCCGGATGTTCTCAACGAACATGCCGTAGAGGTCGTCTAGAGGCATAAAGTTCCGGGGCAGTTTTTCTGAGACGCTGGAGAGGATACTGAGGAGTTGTTGGCGGAGGGCGAGGGAGGTGTAGCCGCCTAGCGAGGATAGATTGCTGTTTTCTTGGGAGGGTGTTTTGTTTTTGGCCATCTTGATGGGGTCGGCTTCGTCCATTGCATTTCGCGTTCCTCGTCGGGTTCGCTTGCTACGTCGTGGCTCGCTAGCATTCGATCCCTTGGTTGGAGGTGATACCGAGGTTGAGCTTTGACTAGCTTCGAAATCCTCGTCTGAATTGTCCTGGTAGTCGCCATATTCATCTTTGTCGAGGTTGATATCACCTGCCCTCTTCTTGGTATTATGCAACTCTTGTTCGGGAACAGGAATTCTTAATTCATCTTTGAATACCTCCTTGAACTCGCCGAGATTTGATTTGCCATTGGCAAAAATTGCGCGCATGATTCTGCGGTTCCGTCCCGCTGTGGTGTTTGAGGCGATGTATCGGAAGATCAGGCTTTCTCGAAAGATCACAAGGTCATCCTGCACCTCCTTCACCTTAGGTTTTCTGCCTCTGCGGTTTCCTTCCTTGGTGGGTCCAGCGCCCTGCGAGGCCTCCCTCTCCGACCTCTCCGACCTCCCCGACATCTCATACTTCTCTGACCGGACCGAGGTATCCCTTTGGCTTTGTTTTGCCTCTTGGTGTTTCTTTTCGCGCTCTTTCCAATCATCTTCGAGTACATTACACATAAACTGGAGCCATATTTGCCAGCGCTCCCACCGGGCCGGGTGAAGTACTGAACAGTTGAATGCCCAACCGACAGCGTGCCAGAAATCCTCTGCGCAGTGCCACACCGAGGCAGCTTGGTTGAATTTCGTATTCAGAGGCCTGGTATCAGGCTTGCCATGCTCAACGAGGATCGGGCTTTCCCCGCGCCGCCCACCCTGTCGCGAAGGCGCAAACTGGGTGAAGCCGAAAGCGAGATTAAAGTTTGCATCCGTGGGACCAACGAGTGAATTCGTCAGCCGAAGAAACCGTAAAGCTGCGTTGGGTGCTTCCTTTTCATACTCCGACTCGGCGCGCGTTGTTGTTCTTGGGTGCACGAGTATCGTGGCTGCAACAGCCAGATGCTGCGGCAGTGGAATCACTGCCTTTGTTGATGATATAGTGCCTGATGCAAGGACATTGAAGAGAAGGCTATATGCTTGGGGCCCTAGTTGAGATTATTAGCAGCGTCTCTTTTGGGGGTTTCCCGCACACGTCAAAGCACGGAAAAGGAAAACATACATAGGCTATCTTCGAGGAAAATCTCTGCCTGTCGAGCTAGCTCCCATTGAAGGGGTACGGGTGACCGATATGGTACCTCGTCCATGGTCGCCATGGCCAGAGGGGAGTTTTTGAAAAGCCAGCTGAAAAGATACATTTTGAGCTGGCAGTAACGCGCTTATCGATAAGGAGTCGCGGCGGAGTATGGCGTATGGCGCGTTGACAAGTATACGTCCGGCAGAACCGCTGATAGTTGGATGCTGATACTTGTAACATTATTGAAGAATATAAGAAAGGCATCCAAAGTACTCTTCTAGAGATATTTTAGGATAATACCGTAGTCGTCAAACTAAGAGACGTTTTGTGAATCAATTCTATAAAAAGATTGAACTTCTTTGTTTGGAGGGCGGAAACAAAGGCGGTGGAAAGTATACAGACAATGAACTTTGGTATTTCTTGCTCCTACAACATAGAGCATATATCGACGGGAATTGGCGAGGATACTGCATGATGAGCCCTGTGGTCAGCTTATTTGAAGTACCAAAGAGTCTGATCTAAAAGCCTTAGGGTAGGTATGTAGCCCCGGAGATATCACCTCGCCTCTTCCTTGTTTCTTTGTTTATATCCTTCGAGTACGAAAATTCTAATATTCAAGGGGTAAGAAGTGACACGTACTTAATCTTACTCGAGTTCTAGCCATGATGCATCAGCCCCCCGCATGGACCCCAGCCAAGAGATTGACATGCATTACCCGATCAAAGCTCTACATACGAGGGACAGATTCTTACTTCCATGTGCATAGATCGCAAAGGTACGTTGATCCCTTACATTATACAGCCCAAGATTTCAAAGTGATAGCAGGAAGCCGAAAAAAAAATGGAAGCTTGCAAGGTAAAAAAATGCAGGGCTTGGATACTTGGAGATCTAGACAAGGATAAGCTGCCTAGGGCAGACCGAAAGGATGGGAATTTGGACTGGTTCGCAGTGACTTCTGCGTCTTCATATTTGCTGACGAAAAGAAAAAAGAGAAACAGAATGCGCGGTGGCCAAGAACGGTTCAACTCCCCGTCAATCAATTTCGCAATGCAAAGGCCTTTTATGAAGAAAAGGAGGGGAAAGCGAGAAAGCTCGGGAAATCAAGGAGGCCGTGTATACGCCAACATGGATAGCGGAGAGGAAAAAAGGAAAGATTAAACGGGAGCCACTATGACTCCTCGGGTATATCGGAGAAGAGACCTATTCGCAACCGATGCGACTGTGGTCAAAAAGTTAGCAAATGAGTTTCGTCACCCTGGTTCCGAGTAGATATAACATACGAAAGGCAGCTTGGGAATAACCACTCCCAATGTGGCCAGGAAGTTGATAGTAAAGTGGGTCAAATCGAAATGGGTATAGTGAGTGCTGAGGAGGAAGAGTATGATAGGTACGCAGAGCAAGAACTTCTTAGCGGGTGTGTACTGGTCGCCATTATCAATCTGCTCCCACATGTTGAGATTGTCGTAGGCACCGGCGTTAAATTCGAACGGGATGCCCCGCACCCAGTGGAACATGAGGAAAGATCCGAACATGTAGCTGATATTGGTGAGGGTCCACGAAGTTTCCTGCGAGACGCCCGGGATGATGTCGTAGAAAATCTTGAGAGCGGCGATACACACGAAATGGATGGTCCAGGCACCTAACATCAAAATGAAGTTCCACATTAGTCCTCAGTTTCTCCATTTCTCTATCTTGTGATGTTGTCTCCAGGTCAGCTTTTTGTCACTCACCCTTGGCATTCACCCAGTTTGCATTCAGATTTGGCAATGCGGCCTGATCACTGGTATGCTCGATAGACTCGGCCGGTTCCTGGTAGATAAGACTGCTGGACCGCCTCCGGCGGCCTTGTTTTGAGGTCATGCTTGGAGATAACCGCTGCGGCCCTGTGTCAACATCCGGAGGGAAGGAGATGCCACGAGGGGCCAACAGGGAGGACACTTTTGAATTGTCGGACGCCAGCTTGACGGTTTCCAAAAGAAAAAGAATAAGTTGGACGGGGAGAAGGAGAGAAGAATGAAAAGGAGCGTGGGGATGAGGTGGCACGGCCCAGACTGGGAGTTTGCCGGTCGGATCGGCTTTCGGTCACGGGGTGCGGAAGAGCTCTCTGATTCACGTCTTTTTTTTGGGGGGCTTAAACTATCTTTTTTACTTTCTATTAGATGTCTATAATTAGATTGGCTTCCTTATTAATCTATTTCTTACCTTTGAGATTGGCCTAGTTAGCAACTAGTAAATGCATAATTGGCCCTTGATGTATAGGCGTATGCATGTGCGGAATCTAGCCCGAAAGGACTAAAACTATACATGTACTTTATATTAAGGACTCAGTAAAGGGGAAGATTCCTAAATAGACGATTCTCCTTTGTCTGTTTGATGAATGTTTCTTGAAATATTTCTTGCCGTAACATTTCCTTTTATGGGGCAAATATGTCTGAGACATGGATGCCTATAAAACAGGCTAATATAGGTCTTGGCCACCTTCGCTCAACTATGACACCAAGACTATTATGATTTTTACCCCCTTCGCATACATCTGAAAAAGACGTCCAAAAAGAATGCCTAAAAGCACACCAGAAGGTTCATACATATAACATCCCTAATATCGCCTTGGGCCGAATACATGGATTGTATCAGTAGTCTTACGTCGTCAAGGACAGAGGCCGCATAAACGGCCAACTATTCTTGTACAATTATATCTCCAAACCTCAGGGCCGTATATGTTTGCATAGTACAGAGCCTCCAACATCATTATAGCAACAAGTGTATAAGGAAAGGAGTGAAAAGGCTGCAGATGCAATACTCTTGGAACCAAATCATGGCGATGGGGCACAAGAAATGGCCTTTGTCCTAGCAGCATACCGTGATTATATTTGAAAGGCTTACTGGAGCTCCAGGAGAATATACTAGAGGGACCGAAACTAATTGTCGCGAGTTTCCATGCGATGTGCTTTTGGATGTCTTTGCAAATGCGTTGTAGGTCCTCTGCTGTCGTAGAACCACGCAAATTTTGTCAGCATGAAAAGATGCCTTCATTCTGTGTGACGTGTCCAGTACTTGGTTTGTATAAACTCAAGCAGTTGATGGCGGTAGCATTGGGTAGGATTTCGTCCAAGATTTGGCATTGCCGTGCTTCTAAATAGCCTTGCCTGCCATTGGTAAAGAATAGTAGATGGGCCTCTGGTTCGTTCACTAAGAGCTGGTGCTGACTAGGCGGTTCGCCAGCTCAATTTTGCAATCAACTCGCGATTAATTTGGTAAATAAGAGTGCCCTAACTTGATGGACCCAAGAGAACACATTGAATGATTGCAGGCTGTGAGCCTTCACCCAGGCACAGTACTTTGAATATTCAACCTAATGATCCATAAGACCTATAATAACATGCAGCACTTGGGACTGTATGAAGACGGCGTCAACCCCACTCTTGGCGTCGATCGCTGTTTTATACTCCACGGGTAGATCTTGCGCCTCGGACAACACCCAGTCTGAAGAATTTTCAATGACTCACTTCTTGGACTTAGCGTCTTGAATCATTAGCCGTAGTTCTTGTAATATGGATTATCGTTCCCCAATATCATCACTCAATAAAACGTCTTCTACCGGTTGAACGCATCAGCCCCGTCTACCGGGGATGCTGGACCTCCGCTGGAAGGGATTGGGGCTGACTGCACAGGGTACTGGTACCGAATACCCGGCTGGTAATGTGCATTTTGCTGTGAAGCTGGCTGGACAGGCTGGGAGCCACCGTTGTAGCCGGCATGAGGAGGAGACTGGTTTGCGCTAGAGAAGCTGTTAGCTCAATCATTTCTCTGCGGTTCACGTATCAATAGCAGCGATATGACAGAGATCGGGCACGTAGCTTACTGGGAGAGTTTCTTCGCGATAAAGTAGGTGCAGGTGCCCAGGAGAGCGACTTTGAGTAGGCCGCCCATTCCACCTCGAAGACCGTGGGCATGCCGAGGGACGAAGCCCCGGAAGAAGGTCCGCCGGGAGGAGCGACAGCCACGCAGTGCAAAGGAGCCCATATTGTCTATAGTAGATGGAAGAAGATGGATGAGAGAAGTGATTGAGATGGATAAATGTTTTTGACTGAATTGTTGAGCAGAAAACTGGTGGTGGCACCTGGGCGTGTTTAGTAGCGTCGGGCGATAAGACCGAAGACCGAACTTCACACACCGAGGCCGACACCGAGGCCGGGTTCTGTTCATGTCTTATGGCTGGCTGCCTGCAGCTCATGGTCGTCTAACCGGACACCCACGCCCATTACAAGATTTTAAATCAGGATATCTCAACTATCTCAACCTACACACATTAATTCGGCTAGATATAGCGATTCTCACGTGAATTGATCCTGTGGCCAATCTCCCCGCATCCACAATACCTTGACGGAGCCCTAGTAGCGGCTGATCTGCCTGAATAGGCAATTCGCCCTGTACTAGCGATACTACCTGGTCACGTTTGAACTGGCTGGTTTAGCTACTGAGCTAGCTGTAGGCCCTCTTCTCTTAGCTCAGGAGGTTCATGAGCTACGTTCGGAGCCATTTATGGCCTAAGCAGCGCGTATCAATGCCTATCGTGAGTAGGTTTCGGAGGGTTTACAGCCACCTACGCGGGCCGGGCGAGCGTGTGGAATATGCAGGATGCCAGAGCAAAGAAAAGAGACATGCCCAGATAGAGAAACCAGCTAGTTGAATTAATTTAATAGCGTTGTGGTTGAGATAAATGCATTTAAAATTAATAGGTCGATATGGGTGGCTAGCTGGTGAATTACGTTATTTCATGGCTAAGTTTTAGCATTGTTTGTTTGCATCTATGCCTTACCACTCGATGCTCGACGTATCCATGATACCCGGGAAGAACAATAAGCTGGGAATTTCCAATCCCAAGGCAGGGTCCTAAACTATAAGCATGTAAAATGAGGATGGAGGTGGAGAAGGAGGAAGACTAGGAAAAAAAAAGGCCCTGGAGGAAAGAAATACTTACTAAAGCATCCACATCAAAACCTGGAGGACTGTCTGTCCCCATAGTCAGCGACTCAACTGATTGCTGCGGCGAACTGGCTGCGTGAGAGGCCTGCAGCAAGAAATAGCATTTCTTTAGGCTTTCTTTGACGGTCTCGTAAATGGCGGGTTGGATCGGCTGGCCCGATTCCATTGCACGGATCTGGCTCAAAATGGCGGCCAGGAAGTTGTATCGCTTCAGACTGGGATTTCCGAGAGCGATAATCTGCAGCTGCTGCTTCTGAATGTGTTCTAGGCTCCGAATCAAGGGCGCTCGATGGGCCTTGGCCATTTCATCCAGGGAATCGGCGACAAACGGGGGAGAAGATCCCAATGGCCGCGTGGAAGCCTCCTCCTCGAGTTGTGTGACAATTTCCAGCCCCAGGGATGTAATCACATCGAAACTTAAGGCTCCTTTAAAGGAGCCTCTACCTGCAATGGTCAGGTGAGAGAGGTCATCCAAGGTGTCTGACGGTAGATTGAGATGATCGGCATATGATGCAACTACGATGCAGGACTCCAGACACACCTTCCGGGACAGGTAGAATCGTGGATCTTTGCGAGCCTGAATCATGAACGGGCGATGCAGGAACAAGATATATCGACGTAGGTACGTGTCGAGAAACCGGAGATGGAAGTTGGTCATGCCCGGAGTGCGGTCCGCATTCCTCGACTGATTCCGACTGGTGTAGAACAAGGTGGCAATATCGCGGCACGCCGAGCGCAATTCATTTCCCAGCCTCAATGCGGTTTCGTATGACAGTTCCTGACGGTGCTGGTTGTTCACAAGCCGGACCGCTTCCACTCGCACGGGAAGAGACTTGAGCAGCAGAACCTGAATGGACGAGTCAGTAAGGTGCTGACTCGACTGCGGGGTGGGAAGCGTCTCAGTCTCGGGGTCGAACTGCTCGTCGTCCAGATTCGACGGCGACGTGCGGTCAATGTCCTGTAGGGAGAACGGTAAGGGCATGGCGGCATCCAGCGACGACAGTAACGTCAGTTCCAGCACCGTCGCCCAGAGTCGGTCTCGCATCTCCGACTGGTACACGGACAGCGCGGGAAAGAGGTCGGGAGTGCGGTGTAGTCCCATCGCCATGGCCATACGCAGCACGGACCCCGCGGAGAGCCAGCTCGTGCCCGGAAGGCTGTTCGTCTGGCGGGCCAGCAATAAGAGACAACCGACTTGCAGGCCATCCAGATTGACGGTCGACTTTTCCGATGGTCCGACTAGCCACCATTGTGTGGCATAGATCCACGTGTGTGCGAGACGACGGAGATGCGCCTTGTTGCTTCGATCTGGGTAGAATGTGGTACCCAGGGCGAGGATCAAGACCAGCTTCATCAGGAAATGGGTCGAGGTCGACTGCGGCTGGGCCCACAACTGACGATACTCTTCCCAGAAGGATGGGATATGAATAACCCGGTAGATGAGCTCGAAGGTGCGGAGATAGGCATCAACCAGAACATCGCACACTGCTTGGGTCGGGAGCGTGCTCAGCAAGTCCGGACCCGGATGGTTGAGTCGAACCGACTCTTGGGCCTTGATGGCCTGTCGGAGATGCCGACAGTCCTTGAAGATGCTGGCGAACTCCGATCTGGCATCCACATCCTGCAGCGACGGTTCTACTTCTTTGGCGTCGAATTTGCCAAGGACTTAAAACTGCGGATTGGACATTAGTCAGCGAAAAGGCTTTTGTAGGTTGGGGGGAAGTAAGTCCGATACGCCATACTTTCTCAGCGGTATGCAGCCAGTGACTGGGGCCAAACAGCTTCGTCTTGTCGGGGGTGACACGGAGACGAGGCAGGGTGGCCGGAATGGCCAATCCATTGACCGAAGGACTGGGACGAGATGCATCAGACAGCTGTTCTTCGGCCGAGGACCCGGTTGTGAAGGTGGTGCAGAGCCTGAGTCTGAGAGACGCTGGGATTGGGACCGGTCGTGGCTCGAGAGAGCGGAGGGCCGGGAAGATGTTCTTCCAAACGCCGAAGACGGCGTTCCAGATCCTGGATCTTGTTCTGATACCGATCTTGGTCCTGAGGCTGCGATTGCGACGTGGGTGCAGGCGCACGGCTCTGTGTCTGCCGGTCAACGGCTTGGGAAGGAGGCGTATGTCCCTCCAGCACGCAAGGAGCCGTGAACTGGGAGAATTCACCACTGGAGGGGCTGCTGGCAGCGACCGTGGGGCGGTAGAAGCACTGCAGCGAAGTTCTCGCACGCTCACATGGGCCACAAGGGAATTCCCGGTCACAACGGACTTTGCGACGACGACACGGATCACAGGACATGGGTTCCCGGCGACGTTTGCGCGGTGGAGGCGTGGAGAGCGAGGGATGATCCTGATCCTGCGCCATAACTACTACTCGGTATAGGCGATGGCAAGAGCAAAGGGGACACAGCAGGTGAGGTGAGGTCAGATGAAGCCCGAGTGACGAGGGGCAAAGATGCCAAAACACCGTCGTCGGGCTCAGGCCGAACTTTATCAGCAGACCGGTCACATTAACTCCGGAAACCCTAAACTCCGGTGAAATGGCCGAGAATCATCGGCGAGGGTCACCAGAACAGGCTCTCTTTAAACGGAGTTATGGAATTCCATTGCCGCAGGTGCCAGTTCATATGGACAGCCACAGTCTTGTTGATCTCTCTCTCTCCTCTATTGCCACCAACGCGCTACTTGTTCACCATGGCGGATTCTAGTTTAGAGAAGGGCCCCGAGGTGCCTGCAGCAGAGGCCCCCAACGCCGCACAGCCAAGTGTTCCCGAAGGCGGCCTCCAGGCATGGCTGACAGTCGCGGGTGCATCGGTCGCTCTGTTTGTCTCATTCGGCTGGGTCAACTGCATTGGACTCTTCCAGGCTGAGTACGAGACGAACCAGTTGAAGGACTTCTCGAGCTCGGATGTATCCTGGATCACGTCCATGGAATGTATGTACTGTACAATATGTTCGCGTTCTCCTCTCGACGAGCTGACAACCCAGTTTTCTTCATGCTTTTCACTTCTCCCGTGGCGGGCAAGCTGTTCGACAGCTATGGTCCGCGCGTGCCTATTGCGATCGGATCGGTCTTGCATGTCTTTGGGCTGATGATGGCCAGTCTCTCCTATAAGTACTATCAGTTCATGCTGAGCCAGTCTGTGGTGTCTGGGATTGGTTCTTCGTTGATCTTCACCCCGGCGATGACTGCAGTAAATTTCAAAAGAAACTAATACCCGCTGAAAAAGAACAGCCCCTAATCAGAAAACCCAAGCCCCAGACCTGGTTCCGCCAGAAGCGGGGTCTCGTTGGGGGTTTGACGGTGGCAGGATCGTCGTTGGGCGGCGTCACTTTTCCGCTGATGGTGCAGCATCTGCTGCCGCAGGTGGGCTTTGGCTGGACGATGCGGATCTGCGCCTTTCTGATCCTGGCCTGCTGACCATTGCCAATCTCACCATCTCCTCCAATTTCCCACATACACCACGTCCGTTTTCTGTGTTGCGCTATCTCGGACCGCTGCGGGAGCTCAACTTTGGCATCCTGTGTACGGCCAGTTTTTTCATGTACTGTGAGTACAGCACATCCATACAGAGGGAAGACACGTTGCATCACTAACAAATCGTTCCTTTCAGGGGGACTGTTCGTTCCCTTTGATTATATCGTCGTCGAAGCCACCCACTACGGCATGTCGTCGCACATGGCGTGGTCATTAGTTCCGATTCTCAATGGCGCCAGTTTCTTCGGTCGTACCGTGCCCAACTATATCGCGGACAAGGTCGGTCGCTTCAACGTGATGCTCGTCATGACCTCGTTATCGGCTATCCTGGTATTGGCATTGTGGCTTCTAGCCCGAGGCAATGGCGCGCTCATCACCTTTGCGGCCTTGTTTGGCATCACCTCGGGTGCGATCATCGGCCTGGGACCCGTCCTGATTGCCTCCATCTCACCAATGAACGAGTTGGGTTATCGGATGGGTACTGTCTTAGCCTTTGCTGCGGTGGGAACCTTGACCAGTCCGCCTATTGGGGGCGCGATTGCCGCCCACACTGGGGGCAGCTACACCTATACGTGTGTCTTTTCAGGCGTGAGCTTTGTTATGGGTACCATCGGCCTTGCTGCTCTACGCGTGCGTCTTTCTGGATGGGGGCTTACTACAAAAATTTAAATGACGGGCGTAATTACTGGATTGGAATGGAGGAATCGGGAACGGACTACGGGACACGCAGGGGGGAAGGAGACATGTCGTGATGACAAGTCATAGAAGAATATACTTCCCTTATTCCGATTTTCTCTCTATCTAATTTTCATCCATGGAAGAATACGTATCTACAGATTGAGTAGGACGACAGTAAATATAACCAGTAAATTGCGGGGAACGTGCTATCAGATTGTTCCAAAATCCAAAGTGTGCATCATTTGTGGATACGGGGAACAGACACGGATCTTCCGAACCTGATGGCGCCAGGTGAAGCGATGTCCGTTCGCACCGACGACTACTGCCCCGGCCTCCCATAAGCGGTCAAAGTTCTCGGCGAATGAGAAGGACAGATTCGTAAATTTGGCAGAACCAAGCCAGTGGGGAAGCGGGAAGCGGTCATAGCAAAGATCACACACGACGATGTATGGGATAGAAGATAGACGTCGAGTGTGACCCCGGGATCAAAGTTGTCTACCTGCTGTCTAGATCACTCGAGATCATATTGGTATTGATTGACTGGCCCGTTGGCTTGACCTTGGAGTTACAGGTATTGTATTTTCTACCTTCTTTTGCAGTTTTAGGCTTCTGATAAGTACCTACCTCTGTATGCATGTCTAGGTTGTATACAACTTTGACGAAGTCTGCTAGTTCTCTCTATAACGATTTATTGGGATGAATCGAAAGTAAGCTTAGCCTATAATTTCATTCCCAGGTATATACTACAGGCAAAGTATCCAAGAGCTTATCAGAACGCAAATCAGGTGCTCTACGGCCTATTGCTTCATATATCTCCGCCGTATACTTCCACGGTTTGGGAATTGCGCAAGTGGTCGATATGCTCTACCGTGAAATTTCTGGGGAACCAAATTCTACTGTTGGTCCTTCCAGGCTCTCTCATTCGATCTTTCTTCCAATACTTTTATCCAAACTTGTTCAATTACTCCAATGACAAATTCCTTAGACGAAGAGGCTGATTCACGTACAGCCCTGGTGGGCGCACCGCGCACTCGATCGAATCCGCGTTCCACCTCGCGCTCCGCATCGAACGACAGCACCCGCCCGGCCAAGCGACAACGCCGCAACAGAAATAGGAAGGACTCAGATCTAGCTGACTTTGTGCCAAAAGGTGTCGCATTCAGTGCCACTTCCTTGCCAGTGGATGATCCAGACAGCACATCTAGCTCCGGATCTAGTTCAGGCTCAAGTGAAGATTCCGATTCCGATGCGAACCAAACTACCGTCGCAAACCCACACGCCGGCAACACCGCGCCTGCGATTAGCTGGAACCAGGGTCGGAAGGCTGCAGTGCGCACAACACTTGGAAAACGATCGGCGCCAGCAAACGAAAAGCCTGGTCAATTTGAAGCGGTGAATGATAAATTTTGGCGCAGTCGCAGTGCATCTGTTTCGGTCAATGGTGAAGACAAGCCTACAACAAACAACCAATCTCAAAACGAAGATGAGCTGGAAGATGAGCTGGAAGATGGAGAAATCGACTCCAAGAGTGACACAGACGATTCAGATTCTCTTGGTTCTGAAGCCGACGACTCTATCCTGTTGAACATAGGGGAAAAGATGGGAATGGATGGTGCCAATGACTACGACCCTGCCACTCTAGCCCATCAGCATGGTTCCAACACTGGGAACTCAAACCTGAAAGGCGCATCTACACAATCCGGACCTGGGTCGAAAGAGGAAGCATTCCGGCTTTTCTCAAACAAATATCCAAATGCGCCTGTTGCTTTGGTGGACCTAAGCCAGACAGACCTTGAGCTTCTTGCGAAGTACGTCTATTTTGATCGCAGCATCCATGATCTAGATCTCAAACTTCCTATCTCTTGCCTCGAATGCCAACGTGAAGGCCATATGGCCGATGTCTGCCCAGCCAAAGAGGTATGTTCTATCTTGCATCTAGCTACTTTATTTTCACTTTTCTAACCTCAAGTATGAAGTGTGAGCATTGTGGTGCCTGGAATAAGCATCAAAGCAGTACGTGTCCGGACTGGCGACGATGCCAAAGATGCCGCGAACGTGGCCACGACGAGCCGCAATGCAGTGCAAAGCTACGCAATTTCGCGTACGAAGTGCCATGCGACTACTGTGGTAATGAGCATCTGGAAAATGAATGTGACTTTCTATGGAAGTTCCCAATCAGGGATCTTCACTCCGACCAGATCATAGTATCAATCAGCTGTGCGAATTGCTGCAGTGCGAAGCACCTTATGGGAGACTGCCCAGCTAACAACTTGCGCGAACCGACCACAACTTCATCGTCATTTACCCTGAAGGGTATTGACCCAGACATGGTCACGAACCTCAACACTGTCGTCCCGCCGCGAGAGACCCGCCCACCAAGCCGATCTCGATCCCGCGGAAGAGACAGGGAATGGTCTCGACCTCCATCCCCAGACGACGATGACATGATGTCCCGTGTATCCCGAGGCCGAGGACGCCCCGTCCCTGCCCCTCGTAGCAATACCCGCGGCAGTATCAAGTTTGCAAGCGGAGTTGGAGCTAAACGTGCGAACCCGCCCCTTCCACGAGGTCCTCCTCCACCAAGAGGCGGTGGTCGAGGCCGTGGACCACAACGAGGAGGAGGATTCTCACGCGGACCACGTGGCGGCGGCCGAGGCCGCGGGTGGTAAGGTGTTTTCACCTCTTCCGAGTTGAGCATCAGATCTCGGCGAAAGCCATGTACATAGCAAACAGTGCAGTGTCTACGATTCCGCTCAGTTTCGGCTGAGCATTAATGTACCATTAAATATCACTTCATTCTAACATCTCTCACTTCAGCGAGTATATTTCTCACCTTGTACGTAGTACACGTTTATGCTGCCCAGGCGGACTGGCTAGCATATCCATCAACCGGCAGTCTCTGCCTAGATCCCATCATGAGATGGCACAGCACCAGAATCCTATCACGCGCCATGCTCATCATTCTCTCTGGTCCCGACAAATCCCTCCTCCAGAATACCGATCAGATCATCCAGCCGCTTAATGCAAAGATCCGTATGCGGATGTTCCTCCAGATGCACATTCCTCTCATTCACAAGCAACACCGTCGCAGCGCCAGCCATATGCCCAGCCGTCATGTCGTCAATGCTATCACCAACCATGATCAAATTCTCACCATTAGCGAGACCCCATTCACTCGCAATATGCAGAATGCCCGCGGGATCAGGCTTGGGCAGGAGATTGGGCGTGTCCCGCGTGATGATAGGTAGGAAGATATGACCGTCGAGATGGTTGTCGATCAGGTTCTGGACTGGTGCTCTGAGAGATGCAGATATATGGTTAGCGCATTGTGTACATCACATAGCCGGGATGAATAGGGATGGATGGAAGGTTGTGTCCTGGTTGCGATAATTGCTATAACGTACTCGAAGTTCCGTGTGCAGAGTGCTCGTCGTAAGTTGCGGGATTCAAGGTAGTCCATTAGGCGAACCAGGCCAGGCTGTGGCTGCTGGTCAGCCATGGCTCGGCGTTCTACGGCTTGCACTTTGGATACGGCTGTGGCTTGTTCTCCGGTGGGGAGTTCGCGGATGTGCTGCAGGATGTCGACGGAGCGATCGATTCCTAGAGCTTCTCTATAATGGGGGACTTATTAGAGAGGCTCTCAGAGGGGTCTGGTTTGAATAGCTCGTAGGCAGTAGGTCATACCTCATTTCGCTGAACATATGGTGCTGTGGCAAACTGGGCGAGGTTAGCTAGGCTCAGTCAATATAAAGTTGACTTGGTAACACGGTCAGAGCTTGTTATCATTGGAATCGCCGGTAAGCTCAATATCTCTGTGAATGAAGATACCAGATAACAAAAGAATAAGACAGAAAGGCTGGAAAATATAAAACTAGGGCAAAAAACGGTCTCCGCTCAACTACTACGTCCCAGAATCCAGGCCGCAGCCAGTATCGCCTAACCTGGAGTAGATCAAGCCAATGTAGGCTAATCCAAGAAATCCTCAGACTACCCGCGCCTATTGTTAAAGCCAGAGGGATCTGAGTCCAAAAAAAGGCATACTTCCCCGAATAACGAAAGACCTTTCTGCCTGAATCTCAAATTGATGCCTTGGTCCTCATTTCTTGCCCACTTCCAATGATAGCACCAAAATATATAATATCAACTCCGCAGCGGGCAAACAACATTGCAAATATCCGGCAGGAAAAAGAACTACAGCACATAGCTCGTATAAAGTAGGAAGAGAAAGAGTGACTCACCACAAAGTTCCATCCACATCAAACACAATTCCCTTCAAGAGAGGGGCAGCCGACGTCCCGGTAGAACCGAGAGGTGCGAACTTTCGCGGACGAAGATATTTGCAAGCGACAGCAGACATGACGGAACGAACAGCGTGCCTTATATTGGACATGAATATGGAGAGGAGGTTGAAGAGGTGGAGTAAGTAAGTGGAGCCGCGGGAACTATCTATACGCATCGCAGTTGACCTCGGGACTGTTTTCCTTAGGCACGTCAGCTCGACTATACTCTTTAGTCTGGTGATTTAAGGGAACTAAATGCCCTAGGCGAGAGGGATATGGCCACAGGCCTAGCCTTGGCCCTTCAACCTCGAGTAATGTCGGGAAATTAGCGACCTTTTCCCACGTGACGAGATTATCTATAGGACGTATGAGACGGAAATACCGGTCTACATCAAAAAATATCTACCATTACACAGTTTGGGAATTTTAAATCAGATATGGATCGAAATATCGGATATGCCACATACATATGTATGCCTAGAGCATACGAGACCTCAAAAGAATTATGTTCATACAACGTCCCTAATATTATTTTGGCCAAATAGATTTGATTCCAAGGTTACAAGTCTCTTGTCTTTATTTTGATAATCCTTGCAAATCCAATTTGTTCTTTCCCTATTGCAACATTACAACCCGAGGACTTCCAAGGTTGTAGCTTCCTCGATTGTATACATATGTATAGTCATGACTTCCTACACGGGTTGCCCGATTCCAAACGAATATCTTCACCCGAGTCTGGTCTTCCTCCAGCATGGATTCAAAACTCTTCGCAGTATTCCCTATATCCCTCCCAAAGACAATATACCTCATCGGTTCTCTCTCCTGGCTGCAACTCCTCTACGCAGCCTCCTACCTCGCACGACCGTTATGGAACACGCAGTGCGAGTCTCCACCCTTCAACAGAGCCATCAATCGCACGGAAACGGGCATTATCGATGCAATCCTCGGCACTGTCCCACTGTCAGCCTATAGTTCTGCAACAGCAACAGAGCGCCAGTGGTACCTTTCATCAGGCAATGGCGCTTTGAATTACGAGAACAGCATCCGCAGCACCTCCCAACCCATCTCCAACTTGCTAGCCAGCTCACCTTGGCCAGAGAAGAGACATCAAGACTCAGATTCCTCATCAGAGCAAGAAAGTCCCACCTCACGGCTGGGCACCGAACATGCCCGAGAAACCTCCCCCGTCTACGAAACCGTGCGCAAGCTCCGATCTAGCACACGAGGCAGCATTTCAAAGATTGCGAACTCGGCAAGATCCATCTTCCGACAGCCCCTGCCCGTTTTCCCACGGGATATGGACGGCTTGCCTTCAGACGAGGAACGGACAGAAGCACACCTGGTTACAGTGCGCGCTTCGCAGCCTCAGCTCATCCAGAACGTGTCTGCCCCCGTCCCCATGTCTGCGTCTGCGCGTGTTGCAGATCACTTCAGTGATCCTGGCCCGGCGACAGGAGTCAAAGTGCAGCAGCCAGTCTCTTTTGGGGCGACCATTGATTCTGAGACGGTGCAGATGAATCGCACGAGCAAATATCACTCTGTCGAGAGTTATCCGGGGAAGTTCCCTGTTAGTGATGCGTTGGATTATAGCTCGCTTGCTACCGCTCACGCCGTTAGAGGGAAGGGGACTACCTCTGTTCGACCTTTTTCGGACTACTAGGGTTTTCCTTTTGGCAATGGGGCATTCTCATCGACGTGACTGGTTTTGGCGTTGTCAGCCTCATGGTTGTAGTTCGACGGGAGTCTTCGAATTGGGTCTCTTTTGTTTGTTTCTTGGGGCATGGCATCAGAGTCAGGGTTGTACTTGGGATTCTACTGTCTGTTATATTCATTACCAAAGATCAGTTCTGCCATTCATGTCATTAAATGGGATCTCTATATTGTGCAGCATTGACTACCAGCTCTAATATCCGCCAGTGAACGTCATTATTCCCAGGACTCACTATAGACCCGGAACGTGCCATTACTAGCACTACGCTCAAACCTAATGAAGGGATAGAAGACTCTATGCTGATGAGAAATGCTGTAAAATTCTGAACGCAAAGCTGAGGTCTATTTGATAATGCACCAGTCCATCTAAGCCAACGACAACGCCAACAAATGCTAGACGAAACGAATCAACCCATCTCTTGCCCCTTATTTCTCAGTCTGCCATCCTTCCCATCTCTCAAAGTCCTCCGTGTCCAAATCAAACAGATCTAGCATACGCCCGACACTTTGATTGACCAAGTCATCCACCGACGCAGGCCGGATATAATATGCTGGGACCGGCGGAAAGATGACCGCTCCAGCACGGGAAACCTCCAACATATTACGCAGATGAATATCGCTAAGCGGAGTTTCCCTCGCAACGAGCACAAGCTTCCGTCTCTCTTTCAACATGACATCCGCAGTGCGCGAGATCAAATCATCACAGAACCCACTGTGAATAGCAGCGAGTGTTTTCATACTGCATGGAACGACGATCATGCCATCGGCTTTGAAAGAGCCGCTAGAAATCGGCGCAGCCATGTCGTTGATGTTGTGGACATGATCTGCTAATGCTTTGACATTCGATGGGTGGTAGTCGGTTTCGTATTTGATCGTCGCCTCGGCCCATTTACTCATCACCAAATGGGTTTCCACGTTCAGGCGACGGAGGGCAATTAGAGCTTTAATTCCGAGAATGGCGCCTGTTGCACCGGTCATTGCGACAACGATGCGTCGGCGGGTTTGTTGAGGGGCGTGGTCGATGACTGGCATTGTTGTTTTGATTGGGCTGCTTCCGGGAGGATAGTGGCTGGAAGATGGGATGTAGATTTCAGAGAGAAGAGAAAGTATCGATTGGAGACTCGTTGAAGGTGTTTTGGTCTTGTTGAGTGATGGTTTGGTTTGTATATCGTGGAGGTGAAAACTGGTGTGATGAATGAACTGAGCCTGGCGACACTCGTTCGTTTTATATTATGTGTGGCAAGGTGCCGAATATCCAGGTCTCGCAGATTTTCTTACTGGAAGTTATCGTGCGGCCCAAGAAACAGAAGAATACTCATCGGTCCGATTTGGGAGACACCGAATGGAGCCATCCGAGGCCCCGATGCCGAGGTCCGGGGGCTACCTGGATGGCCGGGACAGAGTGTAAAGGGATTAAAAAAATTGCATAAAAGCCTGACATTACTGTGTGCTTTGTGAAACCTTGGAAATCTAATTGATTGAAGGCTATTATAATAGGTCTAAAATTTTCATAGGAATCCATTTTCCTGCGTATAATCGAACATTGGAACTGTAATATGTCAGCTTTATTTGTCGAAACTAGTCAAACCTTGCTTACGGTTCATGATCGAGTCCAGATAAGTGACGGGTGATACGTCGAATGGGTTGGTCATGTCCATGGATCCAACAGGCCTGTTCAGATGTGAGCATTTATCTTCACCGTAGACGGGAGACTTACCCAGGGCCGAACTGCGGCACCACATTCGGGGCCATTCCCGCCCAGTTCTCCATTTCAGTAGCGCCCGTCTCCTGCTCTCGTTCCAAGGCGCTTCGTAAGGTCACCAAGGCTCGGATGTGACGATCCGACAACCATTGACTATCACTGTCGGATAAGGACGCACCCTCATCGTTCGTTCTTGAATCAGATGATGAGAAGACGTCTATGACTTTCTGTTGAAGATTTCGACATTCGGGGTCATTGCGCGTCTCTTCCCAGATGCAGAGAAGCAGGGTCGAACTCAAAACTGTGTGCACCATTGACCAGGTCCGCAATGGAACAGTACTCAGAGCCTGGAAATCAAGAAATGCCTTGGAAGCATCGATCAAACTCCCTTTGGCACGAGCCCGAAGAATACCAGCTTGGTGGAGAAAATGTTGTTGGGTGGATTGCTTCATTACCGGTCGGCAGAGAACCGATACACAGATGGAGGTGTGCATTCTAAGAGCTAGATGCTCGAGATGTTGTTGTATTGTTCTGCAGTTTTCCCGCGATCGAAGATATGGTAAGCCGCGTTGGTGAGCATAATCCAGCCGCTGCAGCCCTTCCAATGCTCGATCAAATTCAGCGACGCCGAGGCTTTCCGGTCGCATAATATCTAAGCCTATACGACAGATCAATTGCATTACCTCCGCGAAGGACAAGTCTTGTCTCTCAAAAAAGGTGTTAGCGAGAGTCCATTCCGGCACGGAGACAATAGGCGGTCGGTCATAGCAAAGACACAGTAGACTATCCTGCCAGATAATTGTTGACCTGTGGAAAGTCAGCTGTGATGCGAGCAGATATACCTATAGTAGTTTGATCTTCATACCAAAGATCCCGGGCCTTCGTTCTCACATGCTCAGGCCAGTGAACAGTACTTCTTTCAGTGTGCAGGCCCATGGTCTGAGCTAGTCGGATCGTCGTGCCCAGTAACGCCCAGGCGGCGTCGGACTGTCCCATATTCTGCAACGTGTTCCCTAAGATAAGCAGCCCTTGTATAATATCTAGTGATGGCCGAAACAGGAAATTGGCCAAGCGGAGAGCATGAAATGATCGACGGGCTGAATATCGTTAGCCAAGTTTGATTAGCGTGCAATCAAGCTTACCAAAGTCAGTTGACAGTTCCAATCGTTCGGAACAGCCAATATCGGAGTAATGCGCCCCTGCTGCCAATGTTGCCAGTAAAAGGCCGACATGGCCAATAGACTTGGCAGTTGCCCAGCGATCAGTGATCTTCTCCGGGTCGCGTAATTCACCAGATGCGTGGGCATTGAGATAGGTGCACAGATCAGATTCAAAGCGGTCTATATCAGCGAGTATTGGATTGAATGGATATGCTGTGACACGATAGAAGTGGAAGAATCTAACCAGTTAGCCGTATTCCTTTTTTAGTTCCCTGCAACCTACTTCAAGACCTCTGGTCTCTGAGGCATTATTGTCAGCAGCGACTTCCACCTTTCAAGCGGCGTCTTCGAGTTCATGAAAGTATAATTGCTGAAGGTATTCTGCAGACCAAGAACAGATCCAACCTCGCGGGCCACCGATTCATTGACGTCCGATGCTCGCATACGCAGGATCGAAGCAACCGAATTGTCGCCAGAATAGACGTAACTCTTCGAGCTATCATCAGGACGTGCTTGTTCGTTGCTTGCTACGGCCGGTGATCTGGGCGAAGCTGAGCGAGCGACACTATTGCGAGAAGCCGATCTGCGCCTCGAATGTGAAATGGCGTAGGTGCAGATCTCGGGGTGTTTTCGCTTCTGACAGGTACGACATGGTTGGCACCCGTCACATTTGACCTTTCGCTTTCTGCATGGGTAGCACGCATGGGCCTCTCGCTCTCGACTCTTGAGGTGTAGCACCCGGTCTGCTTCGTCTTGACTAACAGCGCTCATGATGCCGAGGACTCCGAGGTACCCGGACTAGCAGGGGTTGTTGTCTTGGCCAAGAGGATGTGTTGGATGAAAAGTGTGGGGCTCTCTCACTATAATTACGCGCATCCGGACTCGGTACTGGGTGATATGGGCTGCGCTGTCAAGATTGAGCAATGTACGTCTTAAAACGCAGGTCGAGTTGGGTTTCCGCCTTGACAGAACTGCCCACAGGGTTACACGGTAACCTCGGTACCCATGGTTTTAATGTCCTTGGCGGGTATCCATCCATAGGGATTTAAAATTACATACTTTGTAGAATATAAGGACCAGTGAAAATGACACCGAAAATGACAGCTTCTGGCGCCAGAAACGGCCGCCTTTCCACCGTAACTTCTAGCGCCAAGCCGCCGCTCGACCGCCCTATCACCCTTGGACTACCGGTATTGATCCTACAAGCCGCCTTCTTGGCTTAAGTGTATATCACAAATAGCTCGTGAACAGTAGTACACATGAGGACTAATACATAGCACAACGGCCTACGTAGGGATCATTACATGGTATAGCAACTTATATACGTGCCATGAAATGTTTGCTGAGCGGATGGGCCTGGACGTTGATTGGCTAGCTAGCCGTCTGGACGACGGTATCAAGGCTTTCACCTCGTCCCATCACACAAGAGACCCGCGCTTATGATCTAGATACTATTGGATCAGGATCACTCCCATTATTTGGGTTTTCCGCACCGCTCAACTTAAAGTCTCAGCGAAAAGAGAATTCTGCTGCATCTAATATTCCGGACTCATCACAACATCATGAGACTGACAGCTGCAACAGTCAAAGCAGTCTGACAAGAGCTGATACGACGCATCGGGGCCATTGAATTAGCAGTAGTGGTACCATTAGACTGACCAATCAGGGCGGGAAATTGATCCTGCCCTTCAACAAGAACAAGTGCCATGCCGCTCTTGCGAAGGAAAAGAAGGTAATGTCAGCAAGACCAAAATTCTTGGGATTATTGAGGAACGATGGTCTAGCATTTGTACTTACCAACATGTGCCACTGGATATGGCAGTGAAAGATCCAGGCGCCGGGATTATCCGTAACATAACTGTTTTTTAAGAAAGGTAAGCTATTGTCTGGCCAGTAGAATATTCAGGTGATTTACCGGATCACGGCCCATCCTGACGGAGGAAGATTAGTCGTGTCACGATAAGGAGGATTTCGGAGATTTATTAAGGATTCTGGGGCGTCCTTCGCGGAATCATATGGGAAAGAGCCGTTACCGGACCCGAGCACCCAGAAATTGTGACCGTGTAGGTGCATAGGATGGCTCATCTGCAGTGAGTTTATCTTCCATTAGCTCCAGCTGTCCACATCTATAGAAAGGTCGTTGGGACGACTGATTTAACAGACTTACCGTATCCATCGAATCATTTGCAATCCTCATAATAATATCAATCGTCGAGTTAGACGGCACATGGATGGTCGTATTCGCCTGCCAACCGTCTGATACGTTGCCCTGGATGATTGGTATTTTTGACTCAGAGTACGAGGCGTCATTCACCACCCATGTCACAATATCGGTCTGGTTAATTGTGAAAGAGTATGACTGATCTGCTGGTCCTGAGGGAGGGCTGACAGGTGCGAATGGAGAAAGCAACTGAGGATTAAGTACGCTGGTATCAGGTTTGGCTGATCCGTTGGTCAACATCCAAACGGTTGATAGATCGACCGTGACGTCCATTGGAGTTCTGCTGCTCATCATGCTCATCTGCAAGAAGAAAACGAAAAAGTCAGCACGGGCATGATATAGTCGCGACTTGCGTGCCGGTCTTCTTACGTTATATGACACAATAGCTTGCCCTTCAAGCACTTGTTGCATGTCGCCATTGGGGTATGATGCGAATCTGAGATAGTAATCCCCTGGTTTCTGATCAAGTCGAATCATAACTGAGTACCGTTGGCCGATCTCTATTTCTAGGACCTAAAATGACGTGTGCTGAGCCCAGGCTAGGGGATGTAACGTATGCTCTTCCAAGGTATCTCACCTTCACCTCCTGTATTTCCACATACAATCCGTCGGCAGCATAGATAAACATGGAGTGTGCATCCAGAGACACATGTAATTTGCTGACTGCACCGGAGTTGACCAAATTCAGGGCGAGCCAACCACGCGTGTGATCCGCAGGGATGGTGAGCAAGGACGAAGAGGTATTGGTGCAGGTCTCAGGTGGCAGTGAACTGGCATTGTAACCTTGTTTAAACATCATCGGCGGCATACAGCCACGGGGACTCAATGAAGTCATGGACGGTGACATGTCCGGCATTGTCATTGTAGCTGACATCGGCATTGCGGACATAGTAGTGCTAGACATGATCGTATCCATGGTCGTATCCGTAGCCATTGTACCTGTTGACATCTGAGAAGATGTGGCGGATGCGTCCATGCTCATTTCCATGTCCATGTCCATTTCCATTCGCTTTGCCATTGACATCGTCATCATTGATGAAGAAGGCTGGTTCATATCTTCATATCCCATATTGGGTCCTGCCTGAAGCATATACTCCGGTAAACACTCAACCCTCCCAAATCCATTAGCAAGGATGCTGTCGACGCAGTTTGGAAAAGCGCCTGTCTCAAAGTATCGAGCGTAAATGGTGTCCGAAAGCTCATGCGTCCAGTCACTCAAAAGAATGGATGTGGCGTCCCTCTCCGTCTGCAGAATGACATCGCGCTCGTGTGAGCTATGAGCAAGCTTTTCAAAAGGCCGCAATCTTTGGGGGGATGGCCGTATCAAGAGTGGCCCTCTTATGCCGTCATTGTAGTATGCTCTAACGTGGGAATGATACCAGAAGAAGCCATACTGATCTTTGACCGAGAATTTGTACGTGAAGTTACCGCCAGGAGGTATGGGATACTGTGTCTAGAATGAGCAACGACGATGTAAATTACCGTCGAATATTTAAGAACTGACCTGAGTGACACCAGGCACTCCATCCATATCGGGACTTCCCCGTTGTAAAATCCCTGTTATGGCAGATTATGAATTTCGTTTATAGAAGAATACTGTCTCTCATGGAAGTGACTTACCGTGCCAGTGAATAGAAGTATCAACGGGGAGCTCGTTCTTGACAAAGATTTCCAGATCGTCGCCTTCGTCTGCCTCGACTAGCGGCCCCGGTAGCTGGCCATTGATCAGAAAGACTTCGCGGCTGACACCATCTATTTAGGAATTAGCTCTGAAATCCCATGTTTGGCACTCACCGCCCACCTACCCGGAGCTTTAACGTCATTATGCACCGTCAAGTTGTATGTACGGAGAATAGCATTGGAATGGGACACAAAGTAACAAAGTGCTAGCCAAATGGCGTACGAAGTCCGGCAAACGGACATCTTTGGCAGATAAGGAGGAGCTGGCGCAGAAAGGGCACGCTCCAATCCCCAGTAAGGGCGAAAACATCGCCATTATAAATATCCATCCCCTCTCCATCACCTCCACCTAGCCACGAAACTGCGATATTTTCGCCGGTTTTAGCGTGGTCTTGGCATCGAACGATGGGCATGGCGCTTATCTAACCTAAACGGCTCGAGCCAATGAGGTCCTTGAACGCAGGTCTGCCCAATAATTATCTGTGGTTGATTTCCGAAATTAGCCTTCCATTGATTACATCGTCAAATGGCACACAGTGTACCATTGGCAAGCGAGCTTTTGCCAGTGACAAGTGAAGTGTCTTTGTCTTCGACGGGATTTTAAGGCAGTCGAACAGATTCGAGGAACCGCGAAGAGCACCGACTACACGCTCCACGTATTCACGAAACCTACCAAGCTTTTGTTATGGACCCACACCTGGGACCACAGGGCAGACACAGGGAACCAACCGTCGACACAAGAAACGGATACTGATTTACCGTTAGCAAATTACTCCGCAAAGATAGATCTTGGACTTGCATTCCCATCCTTGAGTTCTGCAGAGGACTTGGTCTTGGCAGGCAGAGGAAGTTCCCCATGATGGGTCTATACTGGAAAGAGTGAAAATAAAATAAAAAAGCGGAGACACGCTGGGCAAGACATATATCTATGATTTCATAAAGCATGATTGATAAAGGACATCCGAGAATAGACCAAACTGATAGTTAGTTAACTAAGTCTCGCCCGTGGCTGCTTGGTAATTCGAAAGTATCATCCGGTCTGGCCCTCGATTTGACCAATCGGGTTGAAAAGACGGCGTGAAGAGGTCTACCTAATCAATAGCCAGCAAGCAGGCCCTTTGATTATCGCGGACGAAGACGATGATCTGGAAATATTCGTCAAAAATGAGATAGCCGTCGACGCCACTATCCACTGGCACGAAATCTTCTTATACCGGAGGACATTGAAGGGAAGTTACATGACGGCGTAATATGGTGCTAGGCCCAAAAATGCAAAACTAACCTGAAAAGGAAATTCATAGGTCCGAATATTACGAGAAAGGAGAACATTTGTCAAATTTCTAATTCTAATCTATGCTTATTTGAAATAACAAAATACTATACAAACTTAATTTAATCCTCCCGGAATCCCATCTTCGTCCAGTTGGCCAAAACCTTCTGCTTGACCTCCTCAGGGTACGAATTCTCGAAATCGGCGGCCATCCAATCTCTCCCGGTAGTATACTCACAGGGGAGAAGAGCATCGGAAACAACCTTTCCGCCCTGCACTGGCGATCCGTTTCCATGCGACATGTATGGAATAAGGGGGAACCCGGGCACATCCTCGAAGAAGATCTCGTCAAGGTTAGGACGGCAGCGAGTCGAGAAAGCCCACATAACATCCTTGCCATTATAGACATCGATGTCGTCGCCACAGAGCACCAGCCGGTGGATGGTGTAGCCGGCCTTGCAGTTGAAGATCAAGTCACCGACCTTCTTGGAGAATTCTTTCGGGGTGGTTTTCATTTCCCGTAGCTTTGCGGTGTCGATTCTCAGAGCGACCCAGGTCACTTGGGACTCGAACGGCGAAAACGCATCAGTCACCGGGAGACCGGCTTGTTGGCAGATCTTGCGAATCTCGGCAGCGGCGAGTGAACCGATCATGGTATGCTAATACTTGTTAGTAGGGAACCGGAAAGATGGGGTTTGGTGGCTTACAGTCTCATCGGTCAGTCGACCGCAAGATGACATGGGCATAATGGGGTTGTTGCGGTAGGTGATGCGGTTGACCTTGTACTTGGGCCACATGTGGACATCTGCAGGGAATAGATAGCCGTGCATCTCACCGAAAGGACCCTCGGGACCCTCGTCCGTGATAGAAAGCGTGCCTTCGAAGACAATCTCAGAGGTGGCAGGCACATAGAGATTGTTGGTATCGCACTTAACCAGGTCCAAGGCAGAACCAGTCATGGCACCGACATATCCAGCCTCGCTCACACCATCAGGGATAGGCATGCTCGAGGCCATGATAGCGGCAGGGGGAACACCGAATGCTAGAGCCCACGGGACGTCGCAGCCTTCCTTCTTCCACATCTGGTGGATCTGCCAGAGGTGCTGAGGCTCAATGACTAGACCGGTCAGGTGCTTGTCGTCGGAGACCATAGCGCGGGCAATAGACCAGTTAGTCCAGGACCCATCGGGGGACTGAACAATGTGCATTCCGTAGGTCTGGATGTACTTTCCTCCATCGGCCTGGTGAATCATTGGTGCAGGCAGTTTAGTCAGATCAACCTGGCTTTCTTCGAGGAAGTTCTCTTTGCAAGGACCGGTAGACACGATGTTGGGTGGGATCGGGGCCATAGTGCTGGCCGAGAGCATCTTGTCGAGGATATCGCGCATAGATGCGTTCGGTGGCAAGGCCAAGTGTCGTGCAAGTCGGCCGTAACGATCCTTTGGAGACTTCCTGAGAGATGCAGGGGCACCCAGGATGCGGAAGAGGCCGTTTTCAGCGCCAATGAGGTTGTTGAAGAGCGGGGCCTTGTCGTCCGTTTCACAGACAAGACGAGTAATGGCGGCCGCTTCGAGGTTGGGGTCAACTGGAGTGTCAATCTCAACCAGATCATTGTCAGCCTTTAAGGCCTCGACAAATGACCGGAAGCAGAGGTGAGGCTCAGTGTTAGTCATTCTGAGTCTGTCTTTGTAGGTAGAGGTTGTGTATGTGTTGGGTGGTGTTGGACTTGTGAACCAGGGCAGCCCTTGACAATCCAGCCAGCTTAAATATCCCGGTGAGTGTCTTTGGTACGGCTGTCTCGGATCGCCACATATCAAATTCGAGTGTGACGAGCCGATTCATCCATAGGAGTCCTTGGAATGCAGCATACTTCGGCGCTTCGGAAGGTGCCGAGGGCCCCACTCCGAGCGCCCGAGACACCGAACGACGATCTATGGAACTCGAGCCGCCACTCTTTCTGTAATTGTATTCAGAGGAAGTCGTCACGTAGATTCGGATGTCGGAACGTTTCATGCCAGAGATGGATTACTGCCGCTGAGGTCGGCTATTACCCCAGAAGGACGCTCATATGGCGTCGGCACTTCGTTCGGCAGTTGGGAATACACGTACATAACTAAGAGGGGTTGACTTCCAGAAGCACAGAAACAGAGACAAGACACGTCATGTTCTACCAACCAGGAGTGACAGAGCACAATCTTCCCCACGACCCGTTCAAGGTGAAGCTCCAGAATCGACAATGGACGATATAGCTAACGTTGACAGGCGTGCGTGGTGCCTCGTCCGATCGGATGGATCTCCACCCAGAATAAAGAGGGCCAAGCCAACCTGGCGCCTTACTCCCAGTTCAACAATCTCACATTTGACCCGCCGTACGTGATGTTCTCTTCCAACCAGACCGTGAACGGCACGCGTAAAGACACGGTGGTCAACGCGGAGCAGACCGGACGCTTCGTCTGGAATCTGGCAACGTGGGACCTTCGTGAGGCCGTCAACATCTCGGCGGAGCAAGTACCCTATGGGGTAGATGAGTTTAGGCGTGCCAAGGTGACCAAGGAGCCGGCAACGCTGATGGATATCCCCATGGTGCGGGAGTCTCCGGTGAAATTTGAGTGCGAATACCATTCCACCGTGCGGTTACCAGGGAATCCTCCGATGGGCACCGTAGACATGGTGATCGGCCAGGTGATCGCCGTGCATATCAAGGACGAGGTGTTGACAGATGGAATCCTGGATATCAAGAAGACGAAGCCGATCGCGCGCTGTGGGTACTATCAGTACACGGTGGTGACGGAGACGTTCGACATGGTGATCCCTGGCATGTCCGAGGATGTCCTATACGGGCTAGAGGGTAGTGCAAAACAAAATCGCGAGGCCGAATCCCGGAATACGTGATCAGGGGTCTATTATAATTCCTTCTAAACGCCCACAGAGTGATGGAGCGATGATCGGATCACTTTGATATAATAGAGCTGGGTGGACTTTCCTATGGCATGGCCAATTGCTTGTGATGGTAGTACAATCTGAAGAACAGGCGGGCTATTTACGCAATTCAGCTTGCACCCACTCGTCCTGTTCGAGTTCCATATCAGAGCTTCGCTTTTCCGGCTCCCATTGTAGCATTTTTCGCACTAGGCGGAGAAACGTCTCTTTTTCCTCTCCTTCGAGACTAGTCTCTCTTTGCTCAAGCGGGATGTGCTCTGCCACTAATTCTCCGGCGCGCAAGTCACCTGGAGTAGCAGAGACGGTCAACCATTGACACTTTCTATATGTAGATAGGGAAAAGGACCGATAGATGAATTACCTTCCTCTGAGAAGTAGTCTTTCGTCAGATTCCCCCGGGCAAGGAAACTTGGCGATGGCGGACCGAGTAGGCGTATCATTTCGGCAAGATGAGTGCGGCTCCTATAGGTCTGATACTCTGGGTCCTGGCCGCTAAACAGCGGCCCCCCTCCGTAAAGGTTCCAAATCTGAAGGAGTATCGGCTTTCTTACCACGCATCCCACGTTCCATATATTAACGCTATATGACTTGCAAGATGACCTCGGGTGCTCGATATATATCCGGCTGAATGTCTTCCAAGTGCTATTCGTCGCCCACCACAGCTGAGCCAAAATCGCAGAGGACAGGCGCGCCTAAGTTCTAGGCATTCTAAGCGCGCGGGAGGTAAAGATTGTCCTTCTATCTAGCTCCTTCCTAGGGTAGGGATTTTGGAGCTTATTATTTTCAAATTCGCTGAAAAGGAATCATCAGCAATGCAGAATATGATGTTATCTGCTTCAATATCTGATATATTAATAAGCAAACGATCGAGCTCGAGATCAGGAAGGGAAAACCGCACCGGTATAGATGATCTTGCATTCTGTATACAGATAGTCTAATGTAAGAAATAGACGGTGAAGGGTCACTACCATGATTGGTATAGGTAACCTCCACAGCGGAATAGAAAATCCAGCACACTCTCCTATAATGGAGG